GAGTTGCAGTAATCGGGGAGGAAGATGAACTCTGAACTGATTCATCCGCATCCACATCCATCTGTTGACAGTAGAAGCTGTCCCTGATTTAATCTGTATAATGTTTGTCATGAGATCTGCATTTCCCCTTTTTCCCTTAGGCAGTCTCATGGCCAATGTAATCAGGGGCGTGAATACTAAATAAAAGAGGTTGAACTACAGGGAGTCCCTCAGAACGGTGGATTTGGATGTACGAGAGACTCCCTGTCCAGCGTTCTCCTCACCTTTGATTCTAAACCATGGTTTGATTGTCTCATTTGCTCCCCTGTATTTGTATGTATTTAGGTAAATACCCATCAGCAACGCGTGATTACGTCAGACGAGGCTATGCAATGCGTGATTACGTCAAACGAGGCTACGCAATGCGTGACTACGTCAGACATCAGCGACAAGCTTTGCGGTAGTAAACAGGAAGTGAAACTTGCTAACTAGCAGAGGCTAATCATCTCGGGACAATGGAGCGATTTTTTTTGTGAATGCCTTGCTATTGGGCAAGTTGTAATTATTCTATCTATTCAGCTAGTACAGGCTATGTTTAACGTTGCCAGGAGACGTAGGGAAATAAACGCAATGTTTTCGCGCGTTTATGATAACATCCGGTACGAGGCAGGAAAGCGGAAACAGCTGAACGTCACATGAGGTAAATATGGGCGACGTCAGAATTTATTCGGCAAACGTGTTTCCATCTCTCGTTTTGCACATTAACTACTTTGCGAATCATTGAAAAACCACCTCAAGCGAGTGTAAAAACTTTTTAGCAAATTGAGGATTTTTTTTTCGAATTTTGTTGTTTCCATCAGACTTTTTTCGCATTTTTAATGCAACACTTCTAAATGCGCATCAAAAAGCCTTGATGAAAACACGGTTATTGTGTTTGTCTGTATCTCTTTCCTGTTCCCTCAAATCTAACTGATCGAAGCAGATAGTCACTTATCTTGAACCTGGTTCTGTTGGAGGTTTCTTCCTGTTAAAAAAGAGTTTTTCCTTGTCACAGTTACCAATGACCAATGTTGCTCAGGATGGGAGACTGTAACAAAGTGAAGATTCAACACAATCTGCTGGCTTCCTTAGATTGAAAACCTTTACTAAATGGCTTTTGTAATGTATGTGAATGTTGGGGACTTCAGTTTGAAAGTCATGCCGGTGCCACAGTCTCAGGTTACCGCTGTCAGCGGATTCTGTCGGCCCAGATTCTCCCTCTGAGTCGGAGTAGAAAGGCTTCTCCACTTTCTTCTCCTTCCTCTTCTCCCGGCTGCTGCATTTGGTCCATTCAGGCACCTAATGAAAGGAAACAGGAAAACCATCAGATCTGCTTCAGTGGAAAAAATAAATCTTAGCAAGCAGCATAAATGTGGGCAGATCACAGGAGTGTGGCCATGAATGTCTCTGCCTGGGCATGATGCAGCCAAATGAAGCCATCCACAGCTGCTGCAGATAGGCTTTTAGATCTTTCGTGAACAAGAGAGAAATCTGAAGCTAATGATTGTATGGAGTTCACAGTAAAACATGAGCACCAGGTGTTGTCTTCATGACCATTTGCAGAAATGGCTTTCTTGGAAAACAGGGAGCATATCTATTGAGAGAAGTGATATCTTTTAGAAGGACTGACTATCCTCCCACTCAAGAGACAAACTGTTCTTTTTGTGACAAGACCATAACCATAAACCAACGCTATTTAAAAATCGCACTCAGTTACCAATGCACAGTGGTAGGCAGCGCTAACCCAAAAATTAGCTCTGCAATTTCTAAAGCGCTTTCGCAAATATTTAGGTTCGCAACCTCAAAAGCGCTTATGCCATAGAAAAACTAGCGGAAGCTAATTTTATAGCGCAAGTTCAATTTGACACTGACTAGATGGCAATAATTCATGTACAATACAGTATCTGCAAAACACTGCCAAATAGTGGTGTATGAACTTTTTTTACAGCTTAATCCTACAACTGCCAATTGATGGGGATGTGATTTCCTGAAACAGACCTTTAGCTCCTGGTGTAAAAATTAAAAAGTTGTTGAGGATTACTAGTTCGGCTGCTTCTTTGTCTTTTTCTTTTGTTTGTTGTAGATTTTTC